GAATCCATCCCTAACACAGTGGGGAGCCATTTCCTACAGCCGGAGGCCATTCTGAAACCCGACGATCAGCTGTTTGCTGATTGTCGTAAAGCGAAAAATCGGTCTCCGAAACAGGGAACCGATCAACGTTAAGCAAAATTCCCCCATCTAAACATTGTTTTGCGATCGCAAAAACTTCAGCGTTAAGCGGATTCGTCGTCAAGTGGGGTAATTGTCCAGCGGGGCACCCCTGTAATCCAGTCATGCTGTAACTAAGGCATGTGCGAGATCAGACCTCTCCAGGAATGGACACAGCTGACGCATTAGTTTTAATTGTGCAAACGCACTCCTGGCCACCACGAGACCTTGAGTGTGATGGATACCAGTTGGAGAAGAGCTGCTCTAAAATGACCCACGCTGTCCCCTTAGCTTGTCAGCAGGGAAAGCTGAATTACCCCAGCCCTCTCACCTGGCCAGGATGGAGTGCTCGGAGCCATCTGACAGCAGACGATGCACGTCTTGGACAACTGCTTCCAACTGAGCTAAAAGCTTCCTCTCCTGAGCCTGGAGAGGGATCTGTTGGATGCAGAGCATCTCACATTTGCTCCAGCCCTCCTGCCACCAGGAGAGAAAAAGAGAGAAGTCACACCATGAGTCCATTTCCCCTCCTTTGACACCATAAAGCCAGCAGGAAGATCTTCTAGTACTGATATTTCTCACCCACATTTGATCACCCTGTGTAACACTAGACAGACCAGCCATGTGTACCCATGAAGTTAGTTGCGGGAGAAAAGGATGCAGATTCTTAATAATTTTCCCCTTTCACTCAACAGTTGATAGCCAGGCTCAGAGAAACATCTGGGCTCAGAAGGGCCACATGATCCAGAGACTAAAACAAGGCCTGCTATTTTTTGAGCGCTGAGTGGACAAGGAATTTTCTCCTGTGCTGCCAAATGTTTATGGCACAGTAAACACAAAATCCCCCATAATTTCATTTGAAAATAAAGGCATACAGCAAATCCTGCTGCATGGCAATACATATGCCCCTCACCTGCACTGTTTTTGAAGGACACTTAGCAACCCCCCCCCTCCAAAGCTAGTGTGTCGGACAAAAAAAAGAAAAGGTTGGTGTGTCAGACCAACTTCTTTTTCTGCCTCTGGCATACTAAAATATGGAAGATGTAGCCAGCAATAGTTCTGCAAAACATGCCTGCGTACACCCTGGAGTAGTCCACCCTTGCTCTCAAGTCCCCTGGGCTGAGAGGCCTTTGACAACTGGAAGATTTTCAACATGCACACTGCTGGCTTTGAAAACCGCACTAGGATTCATTCATTTAAGCCATAATTTTATATATTTACAGCACTTTTATCCTGCCTTTCTCCTAAGAAAAGACCAAGGTGGCTTACATCATTAAAAAAACACTATTAAAAGCTAAAAACAGTAAATTATTCAAATATATTAAAACATTAATATTATATTAAAAATGTTAGGTAAACGCATGATTAAAAACAGATTTAGAAGCAACGAAATATAGATCATCTTATTTATTGCCTTCTAAACATTCAGTCACTAAGGAAAAGCTTGCCTGAAGAGAAATGGGATGTTCCTTGCCAGTGGTTGGATGAATTACTGTATTTTTCCATGTATAAGACCCCCCTTTTCAAACCGAAAATTAAGAAATCTAAGTGGGGCTTAGCAAAAAGAGGGGGAAAGGGATCAAAGTACTCCCACAACTGCACGATCCTTTTGATCCCTTTCCCCCTTATACAGCCATGGGATTGCTTTGATTCTTCCCTCCTCCTTTTGTTAAGCCCCATGGGACTTAGCAAGCAGAGGGGAAAGTAGGGATCAAAGCAATCCTGCAGAGCTTTGATTCCTGCTTTCCTTTTGCTAAGGATTAGCAAGTGGAGGAGAAAGCAGGGATCAAAGCCCTGCAGGAACAATTTGATCCCTGCTTTCCCCTCCACTTGTTTATTTCTCTCCTCAGCTGACTTCCGTGTATAAGACCCTCAATTTTTAGTCAAAAATTTTAGACAAAAGTATATTCTTATACACAGAAAATACAGTACTTACAAATCGGCCCCTTTTATTTATTTACGTATTAAATTTCTCTCCCGCCCATCTAGACCAAAGGTCTACTCTAGGGTTTTATCTTCTATCTGTTCCTAACTATAGTCAGTCACTAGCTGTCAGCCTTACCTGGATCAGGTGTCGGACAGACGGAAGGTCATCCATACGGTCTGAGACATCTTCTAGGTGGCCACTGTGCAAACGGAACCTGCAGATGGGGACAGGATGGCAAGAACTGAAGACACCCCCACCATCATGTCATTGGTACATCCGCGGCTGGTTCTGGTTTCAGGGGTCCTCTGATGGGGGCAGCACCTCCTCTGGAGGCAGATGGTAGTGCATTTTTCAAGAGAGCTGGGTGTCTCAGAGCCAGTTAATGTTCCCCATAATCCTCTGGGGCAACATTACATATGGAGATCTCTATTGAGAAGTTTGTGAGAAGTGAAAATGGTACCCAGCCTTCTGTGGAGCCCTGGACAAGAAAGAGCAAGCCAAATCAGGCAGTGGACCGCCTTGGCGTATATAGAAACCTGGAAGTTGCCTGAAGAGGCTTGAAGTTATTCTGGCCAGACATGGAGAAAAGAGGCTGATCGCAGAAATGCATACAGTAGAACACTCCACTCCCAGATAAAAAAAGGCCTACTTGAGTGCTTCCACATCTTGGGGGATGTTGAGGCTGTCGGAGAGCTCCTGCAGCTGCTGGGCGCTCTGGAGGGCCAGGTGCTCCAAGGCCGAAAGGATGTGCGCAGGTGGATGAGAGGCTGCGAGTTTCTGCAAGGTACAAAAGGACAGAAGAGAAACTTTTGCTCACCCTTCCCTGCTTCCCAGCAGTTTGAAGGGTAACTTTCTCACCTCAATTTGTCATCGGCCATAAAAAAATGGATTCATTTGAACTGTGATGCTGGAGGAGAGCTTTGTGGATGCCCTGGACTGCCAGAAAGATGGAACAAGTGGGTCCTTGATCAAATTAAGCCCGAACTATCTTTGGAGGCAAAAACGTTGAAGCGGAGGTTGTCCTATTTTGGGGCACATCCTGAAAAGGCAGGGTTCTCTGGCCAAAGAGAGACAAGCAAGGCAGTGGCAGAGCACTTAGGCGGCATGTTGGTTTTCCTTCCATTCAGTCCCCAGCTTCTCCAGTAAAAGATGTACCAGGGAGCAAGTGGGTGATGGGAAATCTTTATCTAAGACCGTACAAAGCCATTGACAAATAAAGAACCACAAGCAGGGCCAAGATGGACACAGAACTTGGAAAGGGGTGTGTTTTGAACTACATCTTGCAGAACCTCTCAGCCTGCGTGGCTCCTGACGTAGTAGAAAGCAGCTGTTCCTGGTCTTATGGTTAGAGGCTACTCAGGACAGGATTAGGGTGCCTTTAACAGCAGCAACTTAAAAAAATTCCACCACTGCAGAGTGAAATGCTCTGGCATACAATTTAATAACGTTTTGACCTCCAGATGTTTCTCCCTACAACCACCCAATATCCCAAAAGGTATGGCCAATGGTAATGGATATTTGAGAATGGTAGTCCCAAATATCGAGAGCAGTGGTTCCCACCCTAGGGTCTCCAGATGTTCTCGGACTACACCTCCCAGAAATTCTGGCCAGCACAGCTCGTGGTGAAGGCTTCTGGGAGTTTTAGACCAAGAACATCTGGGCACCCAAGGTTGGGGATCACCGATCTAGAGGGCCAAAGACTTACCTCCACAACGCTCAGCCAGTGCTGGTAGGAACTGTTCATCTCCTCATCCACCCCACTGCAGAAGGACACAGAGGAAGGGGAGTTAGAAAAGGGAGGGGAGACCAGCAGAGAACATGGAGAATTCCCCTCCCCTCCCTTTTTTTTGGCCTAGAATTTCAAGGTCCCCAAAACACTCCCAGGTAATCCAAAACCAATAATGCTTCCAGCCTCTCAATCGTGTTGAACCTTTGCATATCCTTTTAAAGGGAAACATTTGCAGGAAACAAACTGTGGTGAAATCAGTCGTCTGGCATTCTACTGATGTTCACGGAAGGTTTGCGTAACGTTCCTCGGCCAATTGACAGTGTGTGATATGGTCAAAAGGTAAGTGTCCCCTTCCTTTCTCATGGATGGATGGATGGATGGATGGATGGATGGATGGATGGATGGATGGATGGATGGATGGATGGATGGATGGACAGAAGAGGCAGACTGGGTGAATAAAGGACTGGAGGAGGAGGAGGAGGAGGTGGAGGGAGAAGACGTGGGAGGGTGAGAGAAGAGTGAGGCTTGAATAAACAGAAGAGTGGATGAAGGAAGGTGATAGTTGCAGGATGGAGGCTGAAAGGGAGGATGAGAAGGGTGTTGGGGAAAACTGCCAACCAGGAACCCTCTGTTCCTCCAGCCTTGCCAGGGCATCCCCAGAATTCGTCAACAAAAATAAATAGCATGGTGTTTGGTTCCTTCTAGTGGCCAGTTCTGATAAATACATGGTGAAAATGCACATTTTTAGGTTTTAATACATTCAGACCATGGATAAGTGAAACCGTGGATACGGGATCCTGCTGTAAATGTAAAAAGCTGATTCTCATTCCAGCTTTTAAAGGTTCCAAAATTCTAATCAGCATAATATATGTAAGGAAAAAGGGGAATGGAGGTTTGTCAGCCCAGGAGGATGGCAGGCAAGGAGGAAACTCCAATGGCAGGAGCCCTGAGGGCTTGTTACAAAAGCAGGTTCAAACTCGTGGCACAGAAAGAAACCGTGGATGACGTGATCTTACAGAAAGTTCCCAGATACGCTGTGCTCGAAGAGGGTCTTGAGAAACTGGAAGCGGAGCTGACAGGCTTCCCGGACGTCTCGCTGAGGAGAAAAACAGAAACAGGACACGGAACTTTGACTGAAGAGGGAGATGCTGAGGGAGACCCAGTGGGGATTTGAACTCCCCATCTTCAGCTTCGCAGAGCTGAACCTCTGCACTATTCAGCAGTTCTAATACAAGTTTCAGAAGCCACTCTGCCCTTTGCCTGCTAACAATCCACCAGCTCTCACCAGAACCTCCGGCTCCAAAGTGGGGAAACCAGATTCAGAGGCTTTCCTGCCAAACACCACAGCTGTCCGGGCCTTCCTGAGGAGAGAACACAACACGAGGGCTTTGTCACGAGGGTGCGGGGAACTCCTCTTCAAAGTGTCTGTTGGTCCTCTGCCTCCCACACACACACAGAGAGATGGGATACACATGGGACTCCGCGTGTTGTCTGAACACAACTCCCCCCAGTTTCTTGCCATGGAATATGTGGGGTGGGAGAGAGGAGAGACACAGGCCAGAACATCTGGCAGATCAAATACTCTCCACCTCTGATTCTATATACTGTCAAAGAAGCAAGACTCAGGCGTTCTGGAACGGTTCAGTGCAGGGCCACTGTCCCTCCCTTAGTTATATTCTGTTCTGATGACTGTCATGCACTCTGTGGAGGATAGCCCTTTGATTGGAGCCAGACTGTTGGGGAGCTTTATTTACAGTCTCATATGCTATCTGTAGGGACGTGGTGGCGCTGCAGGTTAAACCGCAGAAGCCTTTGTGCTACAAGGTCAGAAAACCTGCAGTCGTAAGATCGAATCCACGCGAGGGAGTGAGCTCCCGTCGCTTTGTCCCAGCTCCTCACCAACCTAGCAATCCGAAAGCATGCAAATGTGAGTAGATAAATAGGGACCACCTCGGTGGGGAGGTAAACAGAGTTCCGGGTCTAAGTCACGCTGGCCACATGACAACGGAAACTATCTTCGGACAAATGCTGGCTCTACGGCTTGGAAACGGGGATGAGCACCATGCCCTAGAGTCGGACATGACTGGGACTAAATGTCAAGGGGAACCTTTACCTATGCTATCTGTAGTATGAGTGATTGGGGGGACTTTTCTGGACTGGGATGATTGTCTATCGATCCAGCCGTAACCAATTGTTCCTTCCAGCTTTTGAGAAAGTCCTGCCTTTCTACTGAGTATTCTACCCCTCTCTTTGTCATTTGGAAGCAGTTTTTTGTTTACTGTTGATCTGTTTGGTTGCTTGCTAACACGTGTGCAGTAAAGAAAGCAGTATATACAAGTCAAGCAACTGTAAGTAAAGCAACTTCTTTCAGAGACTTTTGGTGCCGGTAAATGAGAAAGACGTGAACTCTGGAGAATTTTTAGCTATTCTCCTCTGTGGACCTCTGTACTTCTGCCAGGAAGCAAAAAGAGAATTTTACCAGAAATGCACAACTGTGGAACATAGACAACAGACAGTAGACAACTTGCTTGTTATAACTCTTCTGCCTGCTACCACTTCGTTTCTGGGCAGAGCTTAAAATACTGGTTAAAATTTAGTTTGCAGGCTCTGTAACATCTTTTCATGAGAATCTAGGTTTCTCCTCCCTCTTCTACCATCGGCAGGTAAAAGCGTCTTCCAATTTTTAAAAAAATTCCAAATGGCTTTATTAGCTCTGGCGAAAGAGTTTCAATCCGATCTATGCCATACTTTAAAAACAACTGATAAGTATGAAAACATTTTTAATTCAGCTGTTTTAACATCAGAGACCACTTCATTTCATTTTAGTCCCATCACCCTTTGACTGTTTCATTGACACCTTTTTCTTAGCAATACATTTTCATCTGTTTCTGCTTTAATCTGCTTGTGAACAGCCTTGGGTTCTAATTCAGGGGGAAAGAGATCATTCGAATAAACAAACAATTCCCTTTGCCATATAGCGGAACAAGGGCAAGGAAACCCATGGGGGCACCCCTTGTCCCATAAAATGGACATATTCTGCCCCCTCCCAGGGGGAGCCCCACAAGGAAGGGCAAGAGGCTGGATCCTGGGGGTGTACCTCTCCATTTCTTCCAATTGCTCCAGACGTCCCTTCACTTGCAGAGTTCTGGCACGCAACTGTTGGCGCTCCGAGGCCACCCGGGCAGAGTACGCCTTGAGAAGCAAGCTGCGGCGCTTGGCATCGCAGATCATCTCCTGGGAGGTCTCCAGGGTCACCTCTGAAAAACCAGATGGGGAGGAGGAGACAAGACCCAGAGTCCATCATCAGCTGGGCTTTGGGAGTGCTGGATCAGTGCCTACTGCTATCTTCGCTGCTAACTGCACCTCTGGGAACCAGGAACTGGGCAGGTCAGATCTTTCGGTCCCATCCCTTGCCCTGGCCTTTCTCCCCTCCAACAGCAGAACTGCCCTTTCTCCAACTAGTGACATTTGGCTCTTCTTGCCCAAGGAACACAGAATGGTAAAGTAAAAGGAAAGTGTACTGCTTTGTAGGCCGCCCCACAGCACTTAAAGCACTCCCTGCGTGGTTGACTCTTTAACTGCTTTGTAGGCCGCCCCACAGCACTTAAAAGCACTCCCTGCGTGATTGACTCTTTTAACTATGTAGGCTACGCATTGCACACACACACACACCCTCCACGAGCTGGGTACTCATTTTACAGACTTCAGAAGGATAGAAGGTTGATTCAATCTAGAGCTGATCATTTTACAGACTTCAGAAGGATGGAAGGTTGAGTCAATCTAGAGCTGGCTACCTGAGACCATTGGGATTGAACTCAAGTCATGAGCAGAGTCTTGACTGCGATACTGCAGTTCAACCACTGTGCCACGAGGCTCCTCAGTGTTATAATAATAAAAGAAAAGCATTACCCCAAACATAAACAAATAAATAAATGGTGGGGGGCTTAACAGGGCTCTCTCAACAGCTGGCTGGTTGACTGTTCAAGAGCCAAGGGCCCACATTTCGTCATCTGCACCCCTTTCCTCCCAATGTCCTTGGCTCACCGTCCGCCACAAGCTCCCGCTGCGCGGACTCGATCTGCAGGTCGATCTGCTGCAGCTCCTCCCGCAGGCGGGCAATGCCCTGGACCAGCTGCTTGCGGCGTTCCTTCTCCGATTCGGAGCTGCCAGGATTGCCCTGGGGAGGGGGGAGGAAATAAAAACACAGAACGCCATCATGGACCCTGCCCGGCTCTTCGGTGCCCTAATTTTGCTCCTCTAACCTCATAACAATTCCTCTCTGCCTGCCTTGTTCTAAAAGCTTTTCGCCCTTTTAAAGCGGATAGTCTTACATTTGCCTCTTCCAGGTGCTTGAGACTTCCGCTCCCAGCAGCCCAACTTCGACCACAGCGAAAGGCAAGGAGTTACTGGAGCCGTTGTCCAGATGATCTTTAAAAGCCAAAGCCTCCCCCTCCCCAGCCCTCTTTTAAGGGCTCCTAGGCTATGAGAGATCTAGCACAGCTCAGTGGGTTGGGCTGCCAGGTTGAAGAGATAATGGTTGAGGGCATGGAGTCCCACTGTGTCTCTGGGGAAAGGGACCACCAAGATGACCCACAGCAACGGTGGCTCTGAGGGGGTTACACACCCTGCCACGTCTGTTGCATGACCCCAGAGAACAGACTAGTAAACACTTTGGAAGACTTCATTCCAGTGGCCTTTCCAGCATTAGTGGACTTTAGTTCCTATCATTCCCCACCTCCCCGTCCCCCCCCCCACTGGGAAGCGCAGCTAGTACTTAAGGACGATGGGTCTCAAGAGTCCAGCAACAGCTGGAAAAACACAGGTTATTCGCCCCTCACCTTGGAAACGATAATACTAATCTTAGAACTGTTGAGCTGGAAGGGACCCTATGGATCCCATAGGTCCAGCCCCTGTCAAAGGGAGCCTAACGTCTGGTTCCTCAGTCGGATACCTAAACCACCGTTAATTATGACTACAAGCACATCCGTACATTTTTTCCGCCCCTCACCTTGGCCTCCTCCATCTGTTGATACCTGCACAAGGAAAATCGGTTAAGGAAACGATTCCTCAACTTTCTTGAGCCAGTGCTATGGACTTCTTCACCTGATGGGCTGAGATATGTTGATCAGTCAGGTTAGCCTACCTCACAGGGTTGTCGGGGAGGGGGGGTCACATGTTGTCATAGAATATCATGTGCACAGGCAACAGCCCTAAGCAACGGAGAAAGAACAACCTGATGGTACAGTTTTGCTCCACACTGAGGTGCGATGGGTTGGGATGAGGATAACAGAAAGACTGTATCCTCTCCTATGGTCTTTTCCATCCACTATGTTCACCTCTGGAGGATTTGCTACATCTCCCATTACTTTCGGAAGCAGAATAAGGAAGGGTGATGCTTCTCTACAGCAGCACATACGCTGTGGAGCTCATTCCCCAGAGAGATTCAATCAGCTTCCTCTCTTTTGATCTGAACTGCTTTTGTTCCACCAAGATTTTATTGTGGATTCAAATTACATCTCCCAGTTTTTTCTATACAATTGTCTCTTTCTGCTTTAGGCTTTATTTTATAAAGCTGCTCTTAGTCTCTTGAATTTGTTTTTATTCTACTTCATGTCTTTACACGACTGCTTTTGTTACGCTACTCTGAATTTGTACACCAAGAAGATCAAAATATACATGTCTTAATTAATAACAAACTGGAAAGTTTCATTGGTGGAATTTTATTTGCCATACCACTGTGGCAATGAGGGAGAGGGAGTGATTCTTAGCAGTGAGAATGATGCCTGCCCAATTCTACCCACAGAAAAAGAGCAGTTCAATCCTATCCAAAGTTTAAATATTGCTTCCTCCTAAGTGTATCCAGATGTGGCTCAGAAGTACTCTTGTCTTTATTCCATTCCTTGGCTATGGCAGTTCAGTTAAAAAGCTCTCCAAAGAAACAGCACTCGAACCAGAAAAGGATACCAGAGCACATTTCCACGAATCTTCTTCACATTTCTGAAAACAAATGCAAGAAAAACATCCACATCATATATCATATTTTTCTGTGTATAAGACGCCCCCATGTATAAGACACCCCCACTTTTCTAACCCAAAATTAAGAAATCTAAGTGGGGCTTAGCAAATGTAGGGTAAAAAGGATCAAAGTGCTGCAGAACAGCTTTGATCCCTGCTTTCTCCCTTTGTGCTAAGCCCAGCATGGCTTAGCAAAAGGAGGGGGAAAGGGATCAAAGCAATTCCACAACTGCATAATTTTGATCCCTTTCCAGCCCCATGGGACTTAATAAGCAGAGGGGACAGCAAGGATCAAAGCCATCCTGCAGTGGCTTTGATCCCTGCTTTCCTTTTGCTAAGGCTTAGCAAGCGGAGGGGAATGCAGGGATCAAAGCCCTGCAGGATCACCTTGATCCCTGCTTTCCCCTCCACTTGTTTTTTCTCCTCAGCTTACTTCCGTGTATAAGACGACCCTCAATTTTTAGTCTAAAGATTTTAGACAAAAGTATAGTCTTATACACAGAAAAATACAATACAGTACTAGACTTGAAAGGGAATATGAACACTTCTCACATAAGAAAGCAGTTCACCTGTAAATCAAAGGAGCCTTGTGGCACAGGATTTAAACTGCAGTATTGCCGCCAAAACTCTGCTCACAACTCAAGTTTAATGCCAGGTAGCTGGATCGAGATTCATTCAACCTTCCATCCTTCTGAGGTTAGCAAACTGAGTATCCAGCTTGCTGAGGAGAGCAATGTGTAGCCTGCATGACTAGATTGTAAATAGCCCAGAAAATGCTTTAAGTGCTATAGGGCGGTATATAAGCAGCACATTTCAAAGGTGGGGAGTTTGTTTCAGCTCAAAGACCAGTTTCATGTTCTCTGAGTTAAGCTGGGCCAATGTATGTGCAATTTTAGGGGTGGGTGAGGCCAAGATAAAATGTCAGCCTCTTCTAGCCTGAAGTTCTTACCGACAGTAATTAAGCCTCAAGACAGGTATTTTAACTTTTTAAAATAGGGAGAAAAAACACATGCAATGTCCAAGAAGGTGTCAAGAGAAGGGAGAGATGTTGCTGGCTAGGGCAATCTAGAGGGTTAGATTAGGACTGGGGAGGTGCGGGTACAGCCAATCCCACAGCCTAGAAGTTTCTAAACATGACCCTGTAATTATCTCTTTTCTATCAGCTGAACTGCAGAACTCCTAGCGAGTAGTCTCCCGAAAAGAACACCCACTCAAATTCTGATCTAAAATCTTTTTGATAGTTCCCCTGATCATCAGCCTTCCCTATTCTTACCGCTGGTGATGAACATGTCGGATGACGTAGTTCCAGATTTCAGCACACTGACCCGAGCACATCCTGAAAGGGAACGAAAGCAAAAATTCAGCAGTCTGAAAAGGAAGAAAGCAAACAACTACCTTGCTAGCATACAAAATAAATTGCCACCATCCATGCTGCGCAAGCAGGTCCTGCAACAAAAAGCTGCAGCACAGTATATACTCCAGGACTGCTGCCCCACAGCAGCCAGCATCGCTTGCCCACTGAACACATTCAGTCCCTTGGGAGAGTTTCTTCTGTGAGATTGTCCCTGAAGATTTATTTGAATGTATAGAATGCTTTCCCTCTTTCTGGCTGAATAGCTCTGCGGTTAGGTAACCAGGCTGCAGTGCCAGAGGTTGTGAGTTCGATTCCCCACTCTGCCTCCTTGACAGGGGCTGGATGCGATGGTCCATGGGCTCCCTTCCAGCTCTGCAGTTCTAAGATTATCATCAACATTATTACTGTCCGCGCAAAACCGTTCTGTCTCCCTATTCACAGCTGGGGACAACAGAACTAAACCGAATCCTCATTTCAGTCTATCATTTACCACAGAGAACCGATATCAAGCACAACTCATATTTCCCGCATTTAAAAAACAAACATCATCAAAGAACTCTTGACAATAATTACAACCACCATTTTTAATTGACAGCGCAATCTGGCCATGAATCACTGTTCATTCTGAAACGGATCCCATTTATCCGTCCTCCTCATTACAGAGGATGGAGGCAACAAGTTGGACCCTTTGGGTTTCAATACCCCAGATGTGTGGCCAGGATCCAGGCCCCAGGGCTACTTACCCATTTGAAGACAACGTCCCCGAGACACTAAACACATCAAGCGCAAGGTCGCTTATTGCACTAGCTTGCCTTGGGTTCTTTTAAGGAGAAAGGCAGGGAGGGGGGAAATATTTTAAATACATAAATAATTATTCTCAAGCCAAGGCACTCTGCAAACGCTCAGAGATACCCTTTTTATACTGGTTTATTGCACCACTTTGCCTTGAGTTCTTTTAAGGAGAAAGGCAGGGAGGGGGGAAATATTTTAAATACATAAATAATTATTCTCAAGCCAAGGCACTCTGCAAACGCTCAGAGATACCCTTTTTATACTGGCTATCACATTTATTCTATAAAAATTATAGTTACTCCGCAGACGAGGGGAACGCCCCCAATTCTAAACCACGTTCCTCAGAGACGTTACACAGCCCAGACTTAACAGAGCTTGAATTATTTCTCTTTATTCCAAGGGCACAACAGGGCGCAGAGCCCTTTGCACATGGCCAGAGGTCCTCTTTCATAGGCATTCCATAGGCACGGGGAGGCAGGGCACGGCACGGCAGGGCAGGGCAGGGGGCCCGGCTCCTCCAACCCACCGTCGGGCGGCGCTCTCGGAGGGGATCTTGCTGAGCGGCAGCTTCATCTCCTCGGCCGCCCAGCGCCGGAGCTCCTGGGCCAGCGACGCCCCTTTGCGCTCCATCTTCCCCGGACAGGGGACCCCACCTCCGTCGAGTCGAACTCCGGCGCCTTTCCCGACTTCGCCCCGCCCTTCCGCAAGGCACGCCGGGAGAGGTAGTTCCTTGACGCAGAGCTTGCTGGGAGATAACGGTCCAGCAAAGCCCGCTGGGATTTGTAGTTTTTCTCTAGGCTGGGGACAGGCATAAAAAGAAAAAGAAATACAGAAGGGGGAGAGTTCGTTCGTGTGTATTTACATAGATCACCAACTGTGAACTGATGTCTTTTAATCCTTAACGATTTTCTCTCTTTTTTTGGAGGGGGGCAGGAGGAAGCCTGGATAATCAGGGGCAGCAGGAGAGCATGTAAGGAGGCCCACAAGTACATGCAAAGGCAGAATGTTGGACTCTCCTGTAATTCTGTGGATGAGTCAGAGTAACTGCACCCAGAAGCACACGAAGGTGCTGTTGACATTTACAGGGTGGCAAACCCTATATAATGACTGACCTGAGACATTTTGCAGCCTGAAGGATGGGCTCCCTTCTCATACCATGTATAAAACCAGGGGGGGATCAACAGCTGGATTTTTCTTTTGTATCGCTCAGAGACTCCAAAGGCTTGCTGCCACTTCCCGACATCTGCCACCGGCAGCAACCACCTCCCTCCGCCAAAGGGTAGTCGTCGTTAAGTTCTGTCCAACTCCTCGTGACCCCATGGACCAGAGCACGCCAGGCCCTCCTGTCTTCCACTGCCTCCCAGAGTTGGGTCAAATTCATGCTGGTCGCTTCGATGACACTGTCCAACCATCTCATCCTCTGTCGTCCCCTTCTCCTCTTGCCTTCACTCTTTCCCAACATCAGGGTCTTTTCCAGGGAGTCTTCTCTTCGCATGAGATGGCCAAAGGATTGGAGTCTCAGCTTCAGGATCTGGCCTTCCAGTGAGCACTCAGGGTTGATTTCCTTTAGAATGGATCAGTTTGTTCTCCTTGCAGTCCAGAGGACTCTCAAGAGTCTCCTCCCTCACCACTATTCAAAAGCATCAATTCTGTGGCAGTCAGCTTTCTTTATGGTCCAGCTCTCACATCCATACATCGCAACAGGAAATACCATAGCTTTGACTATTCGGACTTTAGTTGGTAAGGTGATGTCTCTGCTTTTTAAGATGCTGTCAAGGTTTATCATCGCTTTCCTCCCAAGAAGCAGGTGTCTTTATTTTTGTGGCTGCTGTCTCCATCTGCAGTGATCATGGTAGGGTAGGGCTGGCCCTATTTAATGCCATCCAGCATATTCTTTCCCAGAAGAGGATACATGGAGATGCAGCTTTTTCTTTATGGTGGTGTGTTATTCTTACCCTCTTTATGCCTTGGCAAATAATGTGCTGGTTCGTTCGTTCGTTCGTTCATTCATTCATTCATTCATTCATATCCCACCAATCTGGTCTTGCGACCACTCTAGGCGGCTTACAAACACATGAAACAACAAATAAAAATATAACAAAAAGAAAGTATTACGTCAAATAGCGGTACTTCAAGATGGAGGGGGAAAAAAGAAAAGAGAAGAGGAAAGAATCAAATATTAACCGGCGGGAAGGCCGGTTAACCTGCCTGAACATCCATGTTTTTTAACCTGTCTGAACATCCATGTTTTTAATTCGTTTTTTAAAATACCCAGCGAAGGGGCTGCGTGAATCTCTGGAAGCAGATTGTTCCAGAGTAGAGGAGCCACCGCCAAGAAGGCCCATTTTCTTGTTTTTCACTTCCGGGCCTCCCTCAGCGCCAAGATCCTCAGCCTCACCTCCTGACTCGCTCAAGTGGTACGGGTAGATCTTGGTGGGAGTAGGCATTCCGCCAAGTATCGGGGCCCAAAATTGTTTAGGGCTTTATACGTAAGGATCAAGACTTTGAAGTCAATGCGGAACCGAATGGGCAGCCAGTGCAATGCGGCCAGAATAGGAGAAATATGATGGTATTTTCTCGCTCCACTAAGGAGTCTGGCCACCGCATTCTGCACCACTTGGAGTTTCCACATCAACCTCAAAGGTAGCCCCACCTCAAAGGTTCACTGTCTTAAGTTAGTTTTGCATTGCCAACCCACCCACATCCCCTTAAAGAGCCACGCTGTTACGGAGCAAAATTCTGTTAAGTCTGTGCAGAGAAGTTTCTTATTGTGTGAAAACAGCTGTGGGAACTTAACACCTTTGCTGTTGCAAATTTATTAGAAGGACTGTTTATTTCTAGGTGTATGAGAAAATCCTCAACTCAAAGTGGTTAGAGCCATTGTCTATCAGCCGTTCTTGATGGGGGCCATGTGGCCCTTTGGGGGCCCCCAGAACATTTGAAGGGGGGGCACACACCACCTTCTAAGGTTTGTTATGTGACTTACTCAATCCTGATTCAGCCTATGTTTCTTTCATATTGTGTTTGTGGCTGTGTGGCCCAAAAAAGGTTGAGAGTGGCTTTGTCCGTGTCTCCTACCCAGGGTTTGGATGCTGGGCTCAAAATCGTCTTCTGAAGAGCAGCCCCACCTATCTCTGTGTTTGGTTCCAGCTACCAAAGATTCTTGGGGACTGGCACCCCTTTTATTTGACACAAGCTTCCATAAACCATAGATCATGTGTTTCAGATCAGATGCTTGGAGCGTTCTCTCAGCGGGTGTTTTAATGCCTGCTGACCCCACTGGAGCAATTCTCACACAGTTTCTTCCACCCATTAACCCACCGGAGGATATGTCTGATAGTTCGTACACTAAAGTGATTTGCACGGATCCCGCTCAAAAAGGCTGCAGTGCCTGGGCGCATATGCTGAAATAAACATACAGTATTCGTCTTTAAGGTGCTGCAGGACTGTCTGTGGTGGAATATGATTTCACCGGCATGCTCTCTTGCAACAGACAGAGAATAAACACATTTCCCCAGTTTTGGCTTCTCTACACTGGTTACCTGTTGCGTCTTGGGTCAGAGTCAAGGTTTTGATGATTTCTTTTACGGTTTGAGATCACGTTACCTGCTGGAGCATCTTTTCCCAGTGTCATTTACCTGCTCATCTAGGTCCTCCCAGGCAATGCTCCTCTGGGTAATCACGCCGAGGGAGGCCAGGAAATCACCGGCCAGAAATAGGGCATTCTTTGCTGTGGCATCAACACTCTGGAACCAGCTCCTGGTGGAGCTGTGCTTGGCTCCCTCTCTTCCCACATTTAGAACAGTCCTGAAAATACTGCTTTACAAAGTGGCCTTTCTAGGTAATCCTGCCTGATGTGTTTTTCTTGCTGCTTTGTTTATTATATGCCTCATATGCCCCAGAGGGAGACCACAGCCGTGATACAGTGGGGTCTTGACTTGAGAACTTAATCCGTATTGGAAGGCGGTTCTCAAGTCAAAAAGTCTGTAAGTCAAGTCTCCATTGACCTACAGTGCATTGAAAACCGATTAATCCCGTAACAGGCCGTTTTTGTTCCATTGTGGTTTTTTCTGGTCTGTAAGTCAAATCTCAGTCTGCAAGTCAAACCGAAATTTTGCGGCCAGAGAAGTCTGTAACTCAAAAAGTCTGTAAGTCAAGCCGTCTGTAAATCAAGGGTCCACTGTACAAGGATATCTGCAAGCAGGATCTGAAGGCCTTAGGAATGGACCTCAACAGATGGGAAATCTTGACCTCTGAGCGTTCAGCCTTGAGTCAGGTGGTGCATCGTGGCCTCTCCCAATTTGAAGAGACCCTTGTCCAGCAGGCCGAGGCAAAGAAGCAGTCCCGAAACCAGAAAAATCAGGGAGCTGGACAGGGGACAGATTGGATTTGTCTTCAGTGTGGAAGGGATTGTCACTCTTGAATTGGCCTTCTCAGCCACACTAGACGCTGTTCTAAGTCCTTTATTCATAGCATGTTACCATAGTCTCTCGAGACTGAAGGATGCCTAATCAAGTCACGTGTCACATTTTGTTACCATAGTCTCTCGAGACTGAAGGATACCTAATCAAATCACGTGCCACATTTAAGCTTGTAATTTATGCCTCTTGGAGTTTTCTGTTTGGATGTTGTTCACTTGTTTTGTCTAGTTTATATCTGTTGTGTTTTATCCTGCTGTAAACCGCCCAGAGTATTGCATTGATCTAATGGGGCAGTATATAAATCTATGGATTAATAAATCTTCTCTCGAGACTGAAGGATACCTAATCAAATCACGTGCCACATTTAAGCTTGTAATTTATGCCTCTTGGAGTTTTCTGTTTGGATGTTGTTCACTTGTTTTGTCTAGTTTATATCTGTTGTGTTTTATCCTGCTGTAAACCGCCCAGAGTATTGCATTGATCTAATGGGGCAGTATATAAATCTATGGATTAATAAATCTATGAACCAGGGGACATCCAGCACTCAAACTGAGTGTTGGGAGAGTGAGAATGGACAAAATAAAATATTTCTTTACCCAGTGTGTTGTTAGTCAGTGGAACTCTTTGCCACAGGATGTGGTGATGGCATCTGGCCTAGATGCCTTTCAAAGGGGATTGGACAGATTTCTGGAGGAAGCATCCATTGCAGGTTACAAGCCATGATGATGTACAATCTCCAGGCTTAAAAGGAAGGTACCCCAAAATGCCACATGCAGGAGAGGAGGGGTATCAGGAGACAGGTATCTAGTTGTCTCGTGTGCTCCCAGAGGCATCTGGTGGGGCCACGGTGAGATATAGGAAGCTGGATTAGATGGACCCTTGGCCTGATCCAGCAGGGCTCTTCTTATGTGAACGAATGAATGGATTAATGAATGAGTGACAGTATCTGATTCTCAAAGCGCCACTAAAAGAAGTCAGCAAGACCATGGGTGGATTTGTAAAAGACTTGTTTTATTTCTTTCAGAATATAAAGTCAGATGGGTTAAAATAATTAAACGCTCACTGGCTCGTGGGACCAAAGATGGACAAAAGCCCAGCATTTTCCAAAGATTAATATTGCCAACCTGATAGGTGGGCATGATGATCTGTGTTTACTTGGCTGCATCATCCATCGAGAGATCACTGACGTTTATATCTTATCTGACACTCGTTCACACACAGGATTATCTGCACTCCACTCATACACCCACCCACCCACCCATGCGCACACACACACACACATAGGGAAGAAAGTACTTAACAAAGTTAGACAGCAAATTGTGGCTTTTTAAAAATTAACCTATCTACCCCTCGCCCCTATTTACAATCAAGGAAACATTGTTTAGGAAATCCAGACAAACAGCTGAGGGATAAATAAATGGTAACCTGAAATGGGTCCCTCCCATTTCTCTTTTTACTCAGCTTTTGTTTGTTGTCAAAGACAGAGAAATCACACACAAACACACACACACACAGAGTGGGCATGACTGTTACATTGACTACAATGAAGCCAAAACAAAACTGGGCCATGAACCTTTGAAATGCAATGAAGCGTATTCATTTGAAAGTTGATAATTTAGCCTAAGATTGTATTTGAAATATGCATTCAGTCTGAATCAATTCAAATGTGATAGGAGGGGGGAGCACATATTATGTGCAGAATGCATGTTTTAGTGCTTCCCAGAATAAAAACAAATTAAAATATTTGCATTTGGAAATGTAGCACATAAGGGTAAAACCCTCCTTCTTTGCATGCTATCTTTCTAGATGCAGGCTTTTATCACATGAGGATATATTGAATAATAGCTTCCTCCACCTGCAGTCATAATGGGTTTTAGCCTCAAAAGACGGTATAATTTGCTTTTTATCAGTCTTAGAGTATTAGAGTGCTTCTCAAACCACAGCTCTCAGTGTCTCCTATATATACCAATTAAAAATTGAATATTTAGAATCTTTGTACCATTGGCTTCTTTCTCTTCCTCAAGAAGACAAAAGTCTCAATAATTATAAGTACTTGGCAAAGCATGCATTTGGAAGGTCAGTGCTGAGAGGTTTAATATTTGATTTTCAAAACTGAATTTTGTTGGTGATGAAGACAAGTTTTTAGAATTTGCGGAGGAACTGAGATTTCATGAAGAACTTTCAACTCTGCACTGTGCAAGTTCAGTGGCAGACAGATTTTGTACACAAAGTCCCAAATAATTTTGGCCCTTCCAGTGGAAAGTTAAGAGGATTTAAAAAAAAAGATTTTTTTGCTGGAACAGGAGAATGGCTGTGAGATGGGGCAGAAACAGACATTGTAGATGATCGGGCATTGGAAGATGGAATTCCTTGACCCCAAGCACAGCAAGAGTATTCACGCCTTGTTTGCAAATTTAGCTTGCTTTGTTTTGTGAATGGTCTTTAGGACCTAAATTTAGGTCTTTAGGACCAAATTTTATACCATCCTGGCCTGATGAAGGGTTCTGGAGAATGTGAAAGCTTGCCTTGCTTATAGCTTACTTTAGCGATCCAGTAAAAGAAAGGTATTACTTAACTCAGACCTTTGTATTTGTGTAGGGAATCACATGGCTAGTTTTTTTTAGACTAGAGATCATGGCAACGAATGTGTCTACTGTCAGCCCTAAGAGTAGACATGGAAAGCATCAGACACTAGACGGATCTGACTCATAGTAATGCCATGCTGACTATCCGCTTTGAAATCTGGATACGAAGACTTTCAAAGACCAAAATGCAAATGTAACCTTTGGAGAGCACAGGAGAGATCTCACTCTCTCCTGCCCACATATTGTTTCAGTCCCCAAAACTGTGTATGTAACAACCTGATCGGAAATGTTTCCTGTTCTGATGCGTTTAAGTTGTCTTGCACAAGGGAAAGGTTGGGGAGGAACGGTCGTAGGTATATGGTCATGCATGTGCAATAGAAGGATTGCTGAAACCTAGCTAAAGCCCTCAAGACAGATTTCTTCCTACAACCCCCCTCCCCCGGAGTTAAGCTGCTTTTTAAGAAGCTGAGATCTCAGCCTGCCTGGATTTTACAAAGTGGATGAAAAAGGAATTGGGGCAGGGGGAGGTATTCCTTAAAATGTCTACTAGTACTTCTCTCTTCACAGTCGATTGCCACCTGAAGCAAAGTGCCAGCTGGCATTTTATGATGAGAGCATCTCCCTTTCAGAGCTTAAAAAAATATAATAATCAAAACTCCCATGTTGGATGGGGGATTCTGGGATTTGTAGTCCAAAAAAAATTAACAATGCCAAATTTGTCTTGTTAGGCTAGCCAGTGCTCCATTTGTCTGTGGCTTGGCCGGCTGTATTGCAGGGGTAGCAAATATATGGCCTTCCAGAGACTGCAATGCCCATCAGCTAGTATAGCCAAGAGAAAGAGAGGGTGGATATTGCAGCTCAGCATCTGGAATAGCAATCGTTCCCCAACCTGGGGATTCTGGGATTTGTAGTCCAAAAAATTTTAACAATGCCAGATTTGTCTTGTTAGGCTAGCCAATGCTCCATTTGTCTGTGGCTTGGCAGGGTTAGCAAATATATGGCCTTCCAAAGACTGCAACTCCCATCAGCTTAGTATAGCCAAGAGAAAGAGAGGGTGGACATTGCAGCTCAGCATGTGGAATAGCAATCGTTCCCCAACCCTGTTATTACTATTTCAAAAACCATGACATGAAACAGACCCTTAAAGAAAACTTGCGATCCTAAGCCGTTTTTGTTGCCCTCGTTTGCCTTCAGAGTCATTGCAAGTCTTCTGCAGTTTTATCTTCACATCACTTATTTGCAATGTTGTTCTAGCTCAGCCCTCCTTATCACCTAATTTGTTTACTTCCTTGTGAACCTGCAGCCCTCCAGATGATGATGAATTGCAACCCATTATTCCTGACTCCAGGATGAGCTGGCTGAGACTAAAGTTACACCCCCCCCCCACGCACACACCAGTATGCTGGATGCCTTACTAAGGCTGCATTCCCAACGCTTCAGCTCCCTCTGAACTCATACACCCCAAAGGCAATGGGCTTTTAAAACAGGTTGTTACAGGCAATAGCTGTCTATCTTTCCTGCCTTTCTCTGCTTCAAATACAAAGCATGACTTTAAAAAAACTACACTTCCTTTTCAATATATAGATAATAATGTAAGTTTGCATGGAATGTTACAGATTAATTTTGTTAGGTGCTTCGAATCCGATAAGAGCAATGAGCTTATGGTGCGATCAGGTGCAGTGGTGCCTCGCTAGACAGTCACCCTGTATGACAGTTTTTTCGCTAGACATTGGCTTTTTGCGATCGCTATAGCGATTTGCAAAACAGTGATTCCTATGGGGGAATTTCGCTGGACAATGTTTGGTCCCTGCTTCGCAAACCAATTTTCGCTAGACGATGATTTTGACAGCTCCCTCCACGTTTGCAAACAGGTGTTTTCGGGACCTAAGCTTCACAAGACAGCAATGTAAACAACTGATCGGCGGTTCGCAAAGCGGCTTTCCTATGGCCGATCTTCGCTAGATGACGATTATTTCCCATTGGAATGCATTAAACAGGCTTCAATGCATTCCAATGGGGAAATGCTTTTCACTAGACAATGATTTCGCTAAACAGTGATTTCAGTGGAACGGATTATCATCATCTAGCAAGGCACCACTGTGGTTGCAAAGGGAAACACCTAAATCACATGGGAAGGGGGTTGCTTTAATGAAGCGATCTCTTTAAAGTGACTCTTCTTTGTCTCCAAAGGTAGAGGCCGAAAGATTCAGCCTGGGCGCAAAGCAGGGTCAGGCTGGAGGGCATTTCCCCGTGTGTAGTGTGATCGCTGGGACATAAATTGCACCACCAGATCACTCCACAAGTGGTCCAAATTGCCATCTATTTCCTGTGTGATCCCACCCTTAGCTATAATGGTTGGGGAGAAATGCCATGTCCTTTCATCCTAGTGTCCCTCTGACTTAACACATGGTTTGCTTTAGAAATTCACACTCGATCTAAGAAACAACAGGTTTGGGACGATGCACGCAGTGCTGCTGTCCGGGACATCTCTTTGCGCTGTTAGAAATCAACCTCATCCGACAGGGGAGTGCCTCTTCCCCCCCCCCAGCTGCATTTCTTCCAACCCAACAGCATTTATTTTTCTTTTCTAACCTTTTTATGAATCTGTGTGATTTGAGCAGCGGAGTACAACATTTTCTTATACAGTACAGAGTATAAATCTGTGCAGATGAGGAGCAGCCTTCATTTTGAAAACGAAACAAGGAGATTGGTTTTCTTGGTAGGGCCTGCAACAAGAAAGATGGGATCCTTTCAAGGAGCTGTTCCCCCCCCCTTTTTCTTCTTAACGTGAAGAAACAGAAGTGAAAACCTTTCCAGTCTTGATTTCGTAAGCAGTGAAATGGTCAACTTGCGGATGCTGTTGGACTCTTAACATCCCGTCCACCTTGTGTTGGCTGAGACTGGTAGGAATTGAAGTCCAAGATTGCGGCTTCTCATTCCTGCCTCAGACTTACCCTCTTCATGGCATGCTATGTTAAAAAAAAACAACAGAAAAGAAGCTGGCAGCGCAATTTACTGTAACTTTTGCTCGCTTAAGAACATTGATGGATCTCTCTCGATGAGTCCTCCCTGTTGCCCTTTTCTTTAAGCTATCATTGATACGTGATGTCACTGCATGATTAGCTACTGGATGTTCCAGAACCCTGTTCTGAAAAAAAAAACTTAATGTAAGAGAGAACCAGCTGAACCAGATCAGTAGTTTACGGATCTGGCTGTGGAGACAGAAGGTGGGAGTTTGATTCCCCACTGGGGCCTCCTGGGAAAAGAGGCAGCCAGGGTAGCCTTGGGCAAGCTGCTAAGTCTCAGGACATCCCCCAGGAGAAGGTCTCTACCAGGAAAACTCTGAACAGGTCGCCACAAGTCAGAGTTGACTTGATGGGATATGAGGATGATTAAGAGATACATGAGGTCATCAACGCTTTGAATGTGTTTTGGTGTTGCTTATGCTTTTTTTTGGCATTGTATTCATTGATCCTTTTAGTATTGTAGACTCATTATTCCTAACTTAAATATGGTCTTTTCATTGTTGTAAGCTCTTGGGTCCTTTTTAAAGAGAAAGGTGGGTTAAAAATATTTTAAATAAATACATAAACCATCTTTAATGGAAACAAAGATTTCTCTGAGCGTAGAGGTGCTCTTGCTTGCACATAGGATGATATACTGCCAGCAAATTAGGCTCTGAAGCACCACCATCGTCAACCAGAAGCCTTCAAAAATAATTGCCCAGCCACCTCGCCTATCTGTGAGACCAGGTTACAAACTGTGAGCTTGCTGTGAAAAATTGGGATGAGGTGATGATGGAATAATATTTGCTGGATTCTTTTTAATCTGGTTTATGGAAGGCTCTGGGTGCGATCGGAGGGTGATAGAGGATTATGTCTGATCCTGCTAGAAAGGGTTGCTTCATGGGGAGCAGTCTCCGCTAAAGTGACCCTTCTGTGTATACAGGAATTGCTGAACCCCAGCTCCAAAAACAGTTACCCCTGCTGCTGGACTAAAAAGGTCCAAATTGGATGCTGGACGGGTTTGGGCTGGCTTGTGATCTTTGTACGTCACCTGACCACTGGAAATTAGTTCACACTGACTCTGCCACAGTATGCTAATACCTTTCTTTTAGGACCAACTAAAATGGCATAGCATCATAAACATTTTTAATGTTCTCTAGAAGGTCTTCACATGGGGTTCAGAGTTCTGGAGAACTCACTAGATTGAGCATGACTTCTTGACCTTCTTGTTATGGTGTTGTATTTTCCCCTCTAACTTTCTATTGGTTTTTCAAACTAAAGATTCGATTACATTTGCTAAGCAAAGGCGAGGACTTTAACATCGTCACACCTGGCTCCAGAAGATTGTGACCATCAGCTAGCATTGTTGATTGGCTTGACGGTTCCTCTGGGTGATTTCACCTTTGCCACTGCATTCAAAGGTAACAGGGAGATGGTTGATGTTAATATGCCCCTGGTCAGGTTGCTGTTTTCATAGGGTTGAGTAAGCCAAGTAAAAAGAAGGCTCTTTATACCAACCCATTTACCTTCTGAAAAGCATGCCACTGGCAGAGGTCATGCTTCAAAAAGTGATGCAAGACCGAACGGATGGTTGAATTGGGCAAGTGCTGTAGCGCTGCATTGAGTTCTGGATCATTTTGGTGCAGCTCCATGTGCTTTCACAAGTGACATTTGTGACCTCATAAATATGTCACTTGTGAACGCTCTTGGTCCAGTATGGAAATGGACCCTACCTTCTAGGCAATGTAAGGTGGCCATCTCTTTTACAGACATGAGAATGATCAAAACTGGTTTAAGCATCAGTGCTCACAGAGCTTGAGGCTGTAGAAAAAAGAAAGACAATGAAGCTGCCCCCCGCAGCTCACTTTTCTCCATTTAATTTGGTATTTTTAGACTCACAAAGACTCCCTAGATGTTTTGGAGGATTAGGGTGGTAAGGAACTGTTCTGGTTTGTATGTAAATAAATGACATGCCACATCTACCCAGTTTCCTTCTCCCCACCCTTAAATAGAGACATTGGTCTACTGGAGCTACCAAGCAAGTGTTTCATTCTCAGAATTTAGTGTCTGCTAAAAGCTGTATCTAGAATGTGGAACAGCCATTTTGACCCCAAGGGGCCAGATCTACCACTTGTGTTAATTGTCCTCTGTTGTGCCAATACTGGGTGATGTCGGCTGGAGGATTCTGGGAGCTGTATCCAGAAAAGGAAGTTTTCTGGGTTCTTGGGGGACAGGATCTGATCCATTCACATGCACACAGAGAAAAGCCACCCCGTTGTGGGATTCTACAGAAGGCATACCTAAGATCACTCCGTTTCCTTGAGATTCTGTAATTTCATTATCATGATGATCATCTAGAAGGGTTTCCCAGGGCTTTACAGCATTACAAACACAGATGGCACTCAACATCCTGCAGAACATCCATCCACCATTGTAAAAGTGGAACAAACCAACCTTTTAAAAATGCTGTAACCATCCTGATCCAGCAGAGGAAATAATGGTTTGGAACTAATGCAGAACAATCTATTCTGCCTTAGAGTGATCCTCGGTATGGCATCCAGGGGGGAGTGGGATTTAAAGTAGAATTGCAAAGTGTGAGCATCAGGACAACAAAAGCATAGGGTAGGGGTGGGTCCTCTCAGATGGGCTGAGCAGGGCAACCGGCCCACTGGCAGGGCTAAGGGGTTCAATAGAGTAGAATGTTTCCAAAGGGTGGAGGTCCGTGGAAGCTGCCATAGTTGTGTGTGGGGAAAGGCCTCACTTGACTCGAATCTCAGCGTATTCAGCCAGCTCCTCCGTCAGGGTGTAGCTGTCCTTGGTGGACAGTTTGGTGAAGTCTATGTTGGCGTAGTCAATGCCCAGGTCCTCGCGCTTGGTCAAGAGTCGCTTGTCACCACGACCATACTGCAGAGGTGAGGAAGGAGAGGAAAGAGCGAGTTAACGCAGGCCTGGATGAAACCTTGAAGACGACAAAGTCACTATGGCAAGGATCAGGACTCGGGGCCTTGCCCTCTAAAGTGTGAACATGTGGCTTTCCAGAGGGAGCCAGACTGCACCTCCCACAAGCCCTAACTCATATCACCATTGGTGTAGAGCAATGGTTCCCAACCTTGGGTTGTATTATAATCCCAGAAGCCTTCACCACGAGCTGTACTGGCCAGGATGACTGGGAATTGTTATCCAAGAATATCTAGGGACCCAAGGTTGGGAACCATTGGTGTAGAGCTTCACAGGTACAGTATTATAATCCAATCCCATCTGAGGGGAGGGTCACAAGTTGCCCACCCCTCAGCACACAGTAAGCCAGAAATGAGGGACGCTATGGAAATAAATGGGCAAGCATCTTTTCTGCCTGGTGCAAAAATAGGAAACCTCTATGTTCTTTTGAAATTAAGGACATCAGGGGAAATTCTTGCATTTTCAGGTGAAATGCTACGCAGCGCTGCCTAATGAGATAGACTTTTTGGGCTGCTGGGGGTCTTTTTAAGACCATGGGCCATGGGAAATATGGGTATTGATGGCTACTAAATCATCATGATGGCTATATCTTATTTCCAAGGTCCATCCTAGCATGCCTGAAATAAATCTGTTAGATTTAAAAGTGTCACAAAACTGTTTGTTGTTATATACTCTGTTTCCTTGTTGCTGGAGAACATGAGAGGAGTTGTAAGGTTGTCCCCATATGCTTGGAGTCTTTTCTGCAGGATTTGGCTAGCTATTTGGGGGCAGGATGCTCAACAAAACCTAACAAAACTCTTCTCGTGTTCTTATGTCCAGAGTCTAACACAGCTAACTTCACCACTACCTAAACAATAAAGTGAAGGAAATATATATATTTTTGGACCATAATTCTCAGAATCTCCCCGTTGGGACTAGTACTGTTAAAAAAAGTAATTTTTCAGAATTTTCTAGACAGGCATTGCCAGTTAGTGTTGACGTACTGAGCTAGGTGGGCTCCAGTCTGGTTCGGTACGTGACCTCTCCATTTGTTAAAACAGAAATTCAAGCTATGTAGGTTTTAAATTCTAGAGAATGAATAGCTGCGAATCAAATCTATCTAGTCATATTACTGTGACCCCATCGGTCATTTGGTTCCACTCAGTCAGTGGGGCAATCTTTATAAAAGAGATGTGATTGTGTAAAGATTCCGTTTAGAAAGAGAACACGATGAACAAGAGAGCAACATCTGTTCCCTTGGAATAGGGTTATGTTCCTTATCCCTTTGATTTAGGGCACGGAAGAGGTTGTCTTTGGAACAACCAGCTCTGATCTGTGGATCCTTGTGGAAGATATGGAAGGAGGGGGCTGTCTTGAGATGTTTCCTGAGAGATCTACATTACAGAGATTTACGGGAGGACTTTATTTTCTGATCTCTCTCTTGTAGCATCCAGTTCGGTCTGCGTTTCTGTTGTTGCTGTTCTTGTTGTTGTTTGATTTTAAATCTTCTCAACATTTACTGTGTTTTCAGTATTCATTTGGGAAGCAGCTCTATAGAACCAATAGAATGGTGTGCTGCCATATATGCCGAAATACGGAGTGATGCAGGAGTGAAGGAAATGCAGACTAGATCGGCTCAGATTCAGCTGCCTGGATGCAGGGCCAGTCCTCCCGTAAGGTGAGTCAGATATCTCAGGTAGCTGATGCTCAAAAGTAGATGGTAATCTCAGCTCCGTCCCCATGGAGAGCATTTGTTCTTCGTTAATTACCAGGTTCTGCATTGAGGCTGTTGATATTTTCCCCACCATCCACATATCATTCCACTGATCTCTCTTCTTACTATGCCTTTTCCCATTATTTTCTGCTGATTTTTGTTCCCCTTGAAAGCAGGTTTTATTTTTAGCATTGCTTTGTATGGCAGTGGCATAGCGCTAAAGCACTTTCCACTATAAGCATGAATGCATTAGCTCTTTAAATGTATTTGTCTCAATGCACTCTCTTTTATTTTTCCATATACACTTCTCTCATTCTGAGCAGCCATGTCCCTGGATTAATTATGCCTTATATGTTTCATCTTTTATTTTTGAAGAAGACCATCTCTGTCAGAGTCACCATTTTGGGGGTGGTGGAAGAAATAGTCAGTTAAGGCTGAGCAGTACCAAACTGATAGACATGCACATGACTAACTAGCCCAATAAGGCTAGCTCAGAAGATATTTTTTAAATTTAAGTTTCAGAGATTGGATCTTAAATTGCCAGTTACCTTATCTTAAAAGCAACTTCCTTCCTGAAGCAGTGGAATGAATGAACATATTGATTGATTAATGTGGATTTCCCCCCCTGATAAACGACACAGAAGCTGCTTTGCTTAATTTCTTCATCAACTCATGAGGCTCCCAGGGAGTTTGATTCCCCACTGTACCCCCCCCCCAAAAAAGGGCTGGATTCGATGACCCATAGGACCACTTCCAGCTCTGCAGTTCTAAGATTATTATTATTCCTTTGAGAAACAATCCACAGCATTTTAATATGTAATTAAAAGCAATGTCTCACGTTTGCGTGACTTGGGTACAAAAATTGACATTGTTAATGCTAGACAGACAGTGGGAGAGAGTCATTGCCACAGTGGAGGTACACATAGCTGCAAGCAGCGCCATTTTCAAATAACGGACGTGGGAAATGCCAAAAACACATAACAACCAAACAACCATTGAAGCGTCATGCACTGCAAACCCCCGCCATCAGAATGGACACGAAGCCTAAAGTGTGCCTGGCCGAGTCAATTTTTATTTCTCATTATCTACCCCCAACAGTAATATTGGTCTAAAGCAAGTTGCCTAGCTTTAAATATTCACCCAACCACCCCAGTTGCTACTCAAATTTGGCTGCATGATTTTCAGGGGGGCATTTTGAAACAGCCTTGGGGGCAACATTTAGAATGGAAGCAATAAATTAGGCCCCAAACTCAGGTAATTTTTGTCTGTGTCTAGAGAAGGCATGCTGAGGAAATGCACAAAAAGCAATTGTACATGCCTGCCTTGAAGAGATTTTCGGAATTCAAGGCTGCTTTAGCTTTTCTAGCTGGTTTGGCTTTCTGGTTCGGAGTTCGATTCTCCACTGTGTCTCCTGAGAGCAGATTCAGCCTGTGTGGCCTTGGGCAAGCTGCACAGTCCCAGGGCACCTCAAGAAGAAGGGAATGGAAAGCCACCTCTGAGTAACCTCTACCTGGAAAACCCTTCCTGGAAAGGGCCGCCATA